CGGTCGGGCAAAGAAAACAGCTTCACAATCGAGCGAACAATGTTCACAATTCGATACTTTCCACAAAGTGTTCTTTCTTATTCCACTATAAGCTTTTTCCGAACGAAGCGTACTTCTTCAGTTCAAACAATCGCACTTTTAGAGACCGGACCAGCAAACAATAAGTTTGCACTTCAGCCCGTACAGGAGAGAAAAAAACAAAATTTCTCCTCCTCGAACAAAACTTTTTCCGTTTCGTATTCCGTTCCGTGCTACACACTTGGCCGATACTCCACTGCCAACAGCACAATTTCACCCGACAAAAACGTTCAGCTGCGGACAACAGCACATACACCCGCCGGGGGAAATCTTCTCGTAAACAAAGCACAAACGCAACGCAATCCACACAAAATGTCTCCTCCACCGGAGAACTCTTTTCCACTATTACTTTCTTCACGGATCTGGGCCCATAACCTGTGGGAATCCCAGCGCAAGCAGATGTACACAGGTTTATCCAAACCGAACTACCGGACAATAAACACCCGTCTCGGGAGTCGCGTGATACCAAAGAAAAATAACCGCGGACTACGTTCTACGTGCGTCTTTATTTACAAGTTACAATGGACTAGTCAACAAACATAAATTGTACACACATCAGCAATTTATGCTTCGTCAGTCTCTCACTCTCACGCACTCATACACACTCATACGGCAGCTGTCATTCTCGATCTTGGGAGCCACTATAGAGACTCACATGATAGATGCGCGTATCCAGGGGCTTTCACTACTTACTTCCAACACTTTTGAGGGATTTCAACTCCCACAGTACACTCTGGGGAGGGGCAAAAACCGATCCAAAAGGAACAATCATCGAGAACTTTGCTGCAAAACACAATATGACCATTCTCAATAACGGTGAACACACGCGACAAGATCCTCGTACAGGAAATACCTCCGCAATCGACCTGTCCGTTGTTTCAATGGACCTGGCATCGCGACTTCAATGGAAAGTGGACGAAGACAACCGAACCAGCGACCATTTTCCGGTTATTGTCGGAACTTCTTTTAATACATCAAGCCTCGATCGCCGCAGGAAGTGGTTGCATGATCAAGCAAACTGGGAAGAATTCGAAAGTATACTCCTCGAAAAGATGCCCCGAGATCACTCTTTCTCCGTCGAGGAAATAACCGATCATATTATCATATTATCCACGACGAACGCTTTCTGCGGCAAAAGGAATCTTCATCGACATGTCCTGGTTGTCAATGGAATCACTATTGAAGAGCCTACGGAAGTAGCAGAAAATTTGGCGGAGTTTTTCAAATCGGTTTCAAAACCGGCTGAACCATACCTCACAGTTAACTCCATGATAGACGAGGATCAACTCACGGACTTTGCAGTAGACTACAACAAAATTTTCAGCGTAGACGAACTCCTATGGGCTCTAGACAAAGGTGGTAATACATCAGTAGGAGCCGATAACATCAGTTATCCAATGCTGCGACATCTACCATTCCGTATAAAACTACAAGTCTTGAAGACAATCAATGACCTATGGTGCTCAGGAACATTTCCGGAATCATGGAAAGAAGGTCTCATCATTCCATTGCCAAAACCCGGCAAGGATCCGAAAAAGCTCGGAAATCAGCGACCAATCACCCTTCTTAGCTGTTTCAACAAGACTTTTGAACGGATGGTGAATAGGCGATTAGTAGACTTCATTAAAAAGCATCAACGCTTCCATCAACATCAGTTCGCCTTTCGTAAAGGAAGAGGAGTGGACACATACTTTGCATCGCTCGAAGGGGCAATTCGTCAGTCATTTGAGAAAGGAAAACATTGCGAGTTACTAACGATAGACTTGCAGAAGGCGTATGATAAAGCTGACAGGAACCAAATCATTTTGAAACTGAAGAGTTGGGGCATATCTGGAAGAATGATTCGTTTTGTAAAAAACTTCCTAACAGAAAGGAGCTTCCGTGTGATGATAGGAAATGTGCATTCCAGTTGCCGAACTCAAGAAACAGGAGTCCCACAAGGTTCGATACTCTCTGTCACGCTATTCCTCGTCTTAATGGAGACGGTATTTGAGAGAATCCCTAGGAAAATTTATATATTTGTCTACGCTGACGATATATTGCTACTAGCCATAGATTCTGAACCTAAGGAAGTGCGTCGAAAATTGCAGGAAGCCGCCACAATCCTGGGAGCATGGGCGCATCAGACTAAAATGACCATCTCCTCTGAAAAGTCTAGCTACATGCATGTCTGCAGGAAACGAAAACACCCGTACGTCCCGGCAATTTCGATCAACCAAACTACAGTCCCAGAAGTGGAGTACACCAGAATTCTTGGAGTTATTGTGGATAAACGACTCACTTTTAAAAGGCATTCGGCAACAGTACGAAGTAGCGTCCAAACCGTTCTAAATTTTCTAAAAATTGTTGGCAATAGAATGAATGGTGGTACACGGAAGACAATGTTGCAGATTACCAATGCAGTATTACTTCCGAAATTACTATTCGGGATGAGCATGGTGAATAGCGGCAGTGTTGTTAACATGAAGCAGTTAAAACCTCTCTACAACTCCGGAATCAGAGGATCATCCGGCGTTTTCCGTTCAAGTCCGGTGGACTCCATCATGGCCGAAGCAGGGCAACTACCCTTTGAGCATACCGTAATCGTTAATATGGTAACTAAAGCTATCCGGCTTCTTGAAAGGTGCGATCTTCTCTTTCCATGTACCAACACACAAGCCACGAGCTGTTTTCCCTCTATTGAAAGAGCAAAAACAGCGTACCAGAATCTTACCGAAAAGGATTTTCCACAAATTGCAGCGTTGTGTAGGGTCAGCGAAAGAGCATGGGACGACCCAGGAATAAAGATAGATTGGGCAATAAAAAGACATTTCAAAGTTGGTGACCCACCAGCCAAAGCGCAACAGCTGTTTCTTTCGCTGTGTTCAAACAACTACTTCACCTATCGGTACATATTCACGGACGGATCCGTGGATTGCAATAAAGTTGGTTTCGGTGTAGCGGTCGGTAACACAGGCTACAGTAAAAAGTTACCCAAAGAATGCTCTATCTTTTCCGCAGAAGCAAAGGCGATTTGGTTTGCAATCGTCAAAATCTGCACTGATACATCAGTGACCGTGATTTTTACAGACTCGGCTAGCGTCTTATCTGCGTTAGAAAAGGGTCAATCTTGACATACTTGGATACAAGAAATAGAAAAGGCTGCAAAAGGAAAATCGATAGCGCTATGCTGGATTCCCAGCCATGTGGGAATACACGGTAATGAAAGAGCGGACGCACTGGCAAAAGCAGACGGGGATGATGAATTCTTCCTCTGTGTCATCCCTAGCGAGGACGCTATACGAAGCTGCAGATTTGAAATTGCACAAAAATGGGAATATCAGTGGTGGAGCAGTACAACATTTTTGAGGACCTTGAAAGCAACAACTGTAAAATGGACAGACAGACACACTGCTTCTGAAAGAAGAGCCATTAGTCGTTTGCGCATCGGACACACGAGGTTAACACATCAACATCTCAGTGTCAACATTTCAAAGGGGCGTAATTGCTTTTGTAAACAATGACTTTAGCCGTCAATTTCTCGCGAATGATATTTTACCTCTCCAAAATTAACATGCTAGCTTCTAGAGGAAACATTCCTCTACCTGGTGGTGTTATTATTTTTCATGAGTGAGCTTTTATTTGCGAGAAATCTATGGCTAAAGCCATTGTTTACAAATGCAATTACGCCCCTTTGAAATGTTGGCACTGATCTGTTCAATCGTGACAACAACTCTTGTGTTACATGTGGAGAACCCCTTAGTGTACCACATATACTGTTGGACTGTAGAGCTTACGAAGTGCAGCGAAGAGAATGCGGCTTAGCATCAACGATTGGCATGATCTTGAATAACGAAGAAGAGAATGAGAAGAAACTAGTTAAATTTTTGAGAACAACTAATCTACTGAATCAACTTTAAATCGAATTGAATTTGTAATCACAGTAAATTGTACAATAAACATTTAAGCGATGGGGGATGAATGACCGGTTCTACGGTTAAAATCCTTACAACAAAAAAAAAAAAAAAAAACTGGTTTTTGAGTCAAAAGTTATTGAACGACTACCATTAATGTTCTCAAATCATAAGTAAAAACGTTCTTATATAGTCAATGACAATTCTGACAATTAGGTTCTGCAGCGTGACGTCACAAATGAACTCAGTGTTAATAGGCTGAACCTTTTTGACAGTTCAGTGGTACTGTTTACAAGCACTTAGCCGATTTTTCGAAAAAAAATTCTAAAATTTCCGAATTTTAACTTGAAAATTGTCGAGGAACAGCGCGTTGCAAGGATTTTGCTCGTGAACATTGCAGAAATGTGGTTTACATCTCAGTGCAGTCTGAAAAATTATCGAGAAAATCTACCCAAGAAAAAATCGACTAAGTCCACGTAAACAGTACCACTGAACTGTCATCAGATTGAGGTTAACCCCGACGGTGCAAAACCTAATGTATGGTTCTGCAGCGTGACGTCACGAATGAACTCAGTGTTAATCGGCTGAACCTTTTTGACAGTTCAGTGGTACTGTTTACAAGCACTTAGTCGTTTTTTCGAAAAAAAAAATTCTAAAATTTCCCAATTTTAACTTGAAAATTGTCGAGGAACAGCGCGTTGAAAGGATGTTGCTCGTGGACATTGCAGAAGTGTGGTTTACATCTCACTCTAGTCTGAAAAATTATCGAGAAAATCCACCCAAGAAAAAATCGACTAAGTCCACGTAAACAGTACCATTGAACTGCCATCAGATTGAGGTTAACCCCGACGGTGCAAAACCTAATACCCAACATTATCGGATTCATGTGTCAACTTGTCACTTCAAACACATTTGTTTACCCATTTTTGGGTAGGTTCAGTTTTGACCGATCTGGGTGGATTATACCCAAATTTAGGTAGTTTTAAAATAGCGTGTAGCACAGCCAGTTCCCAACAACGGACTGGCAGTAACAAACAAACATAACAGAGACATGGACCTAGAAGCAGCAAATGCAAACAATCACATTATGGATTTCACGGAGGATGCAGAAGAAGAGGAAAGGAAAAACTTTTACAAAATAATCGCTGCCTTCAAGTGCTACCGGTATAACGGCTAGGATATTGTTTTTATTTGATCATTAACTGGTTCCCTGATTTTCAGAGCAAATTCATTAAGTCACATAAATCGGAGAGAAGCTTATGTCAATTCTCTTCCCGGTAGTCATCAAGAAATGTTAATCGAATATCGTGACCACCTTCAAAAGGTGCGTTATTGTATTGACTCAAATTACAAAGTAATCAAACACATCATCCAGGACGCAGATTGCCTGTTCTATAATGAAACGGATAACGTTCAGCACAGGCAACCGATCAGTGCGCCGAAAGTTCGTAGTCAAGACGTTCAGAAGGTATTGAAAATTGGTTTGGTGTGTCAAATGTTTGCAATTTACATGCTTTCATAAGATGAGTTGTGCTTTGTTTGTTTCACTGTTTCAAGGTACAAATAACTCTTAAGCAAATATTTCGGGACTGGACAGCGGAAGGGCATTTAGAACGAGAACAGTGCTACCGACCCATAATAGAAGAAATAACTTCTTTCTATAATCCTCAAAAATGGTAATGGCAAATTAAATGTATATCCAGAAAATATATTTTCACTGACATTTTAGTGATGTGGAAAATATTAAAGTGCTGGTCCCTGGAGCTGGCCTAGGTCGACTTATTTACGAAATCGCCTACAGAGGATACTACTGTGAAGGAAACGAGTTTTCACTGTTCATGCTGGTTGCATCAAACTTTGTATTGAACAGGTAAATGCTGCATTTAGCATGTGTTGAGGATATATTCGTTTTAATTATATGCGCTTTTTATTTTTTACTAGATGCGTCATCGAGAATCAATGCACGTTTTACCCTTGGGTTCACCAATACGTGAACAATATTTCTCGGAACAATCAAATCGAAGCTATCACGTTCCCCGATGTCAGCCCGACAAAGTTTCCCCCTAAGGGTACTATGAATATGGTGGCGGGAGATTTCCTGCAGGTATACAACTATCAAGCTACTTAAAGCCCAAACGCAATGTGGGCGAATGCGGAACGGAAAGTTTGACAGTTGTCACTAATGACATGATGCCTAACCGAAGTCAATTTGGTTCTAACTAGTTTTCAATCCGACAAATAGCCTTGCTCACATCGGGCTATTCCGCTGACATTGCGATTGGGCCAATCCTACGCGGCGTGTGAAGTGATAATTGTCACTTCGGGTGAGGTGATTATCCATTTGATTTACACGGACACTCCCTTGCCTCACACGCCGCGCAGAATAGGCCTAAATGTATATTCTTCCTGTACCGCCGTTTTCAAACGAACTGGTTATTTATTTTTAGGTATATCGCGACGAAGACTATTGGGACTGTGTCGCCACTTGCTTTTTTATAGACTGTGCCAATAATATTATCGAGTTTGTGGACGTTATCTATAGCATACTCAAACCCGGTGGTATTTGGATAAATTTAGGGCCACTTTTGTACCACTTTAGTGACGTCCCCAATGAGAATAGTATAGAACCAACGTATGAAGATCTCATAGTTATTATTCGCTCTGTCGGATTTATTATTTTGGTAGGTATTATTGCTGCACCGTAATTTTCTCATTATTTATAGTTAAACTTACAGAAAAACAAAACCGACGTCAATACAAAGTACGCCCAGAACCCTAACTCGATGCATCAAAGTGAATACAAGAGCATATATTTCGTTTGTCAGAAACCCGACGACACCGATTAGGACAGGCGCACTTCATAGCATTTATTTACAATTTGAGTTCAAAAACTGTACAAACATAGCGGGAATCTTGTCGATTGTAACGGTTGCCGTCGTGTGCAACTTCATGTAATTGAGAAATTGTCGTCGAAAACGGTTCAACTGCGAAGCATTCATGTCGGATGGGACATCCGCCAGTAGGTCGGCTGTTTCGCTTATTTTTACTGGACCTATCATACCCAGTTTTCGCGCCGATAGAATTTGATCGATAACTTCTTGAGTTGTTTTATCCATTTCGAAGAGAAAATTCGTTGAACTGAGCGGAGGCTACACAATGGAAGACATGACAAAGAACCACAGGTAAAAAGCTATCCAACACAAATATAAAAAAAGCAATCAACAGTAAGTCGGATAATTACTAGCAAACGTATTATGATAAAGAATTACATACAGATAACATATTCTATACAACTAAATTGCGTTTGGACTGCGAGAAAACTCCCAAGTAGGTACTTACATTTTGTGTTGATAAGTTCGGCACCAAAGCTTTCGCTTCGAAGAGCGCATTATAGATGTTGGCTTCATCTAACTCCTCTTCAGGAAAAATTGAAAATAGTGGACTATCCCATCGATTGTTATGTTGTGGCTCCTCGTATCGCAGGCAAAGCGCATCGAAAACATCCTCACGATATTTTTCCCTTTCCTCGTCCCTTGTTTCATTAAAATGCCAGGCCTGATCTTTCGTGATTGCACAATAAACTGTACATTGGGTTGTTCGTGATGATTTACTGGCGCAGAAAATCTCATAGCGATATCCTTTGATATAGTTTCCTCCATCGACAATTATAACATCGTCTTTGTTGAGCATTCTCAGTGTTTCCGACTTTACATTGGATCTTAACAATTTCTCCTTCTGCGAATCACTGAAGTACTCATTTTTGTCGAATCCGGCTAACTGAATGCACTGCCATTCGGACACTAAGCGCACGGATTTGCCACGATCTTCAAAGAGTTTCAACAGTTGAGCGGCTCGCCTTGACTTCCCGCTGGCCGGAAGACCGGTGATTATTATTAAAGGCATGATATGTTGCTGTTAGCACGTCTACCACGAAAGTCACGGAATCTAGTTTTCAGTTCGGACCTAAGAGGGTCGGACGGTCACCGTCACAGAGTTCTTTTGCTCCCAGTGTAAAAAGTACGCACACGGCGGAGCCGTCAAGCAACGATGCCATATATACAGACTTCTGTACACGAAAAAAGTGGCCACCGCTTTTTAATTTTATCGAAAAAATATCAAATGAAGTATTTTGTGAAGCTACAGTTAATGCAATAACTAGTTAAAATATGTAACTATTTTTATATCTAATGAGATTAGAAAAATTGTTATTATAATTAAAGTTACACGGGTTCAAAAAAGATAGTGTCCACCTTTATCGTGTACAAAAGTCTGTATATCTGGCATCGTTGCCGTCAAGTAACATGATTTTCGGTGTCAAATGACAATTTCGTCAAAAAATTTCCTTCAACAACAAGAGGCTCTGCTCACTTGCTTGACACTCGTTCAGTTTGTGGCATGTATTTTTGTTGTACGGTCACAACCAGAGAGACGGTTCTGCTGAATTCAATTTTCTTAGATTTTTTGCATTATTTGCCTATAAAGTTAATACCGGTGCTTGAAGGTGTTTTCTTTACGTCAGCTGCTATCCAGGTTGGAGATTTTGTAAGCAACTGAAGCTGAATTCATAAGGTTAGTCAACAGGAGTACAAAATAGCGAGTCGCTCTTCCCACGTGTTTTATGGGATGCTCCGGATCCCATGATAGTTTCAATAATGTGCAGCTGTTAAATTAACACAATTTAATTTCAGAGCAAACAAATATATTCTTTTGGACATTTCAATGGCAAACGGAGTCAACCTTCAAGATGGTTTGTCCTGTGAGGACCTTTTCCGTAATAGCGATGGGCTGACGTATAAGTATGTGGCATAGATGCATAGATATCAATATTATACTAATGTTTTTAGTTTATTACTGATTGGAAACTTGACAGTTACAGAACTATCTATTGAGTTAAGGAAAACAAAACAAAATCATTAAATGTTGTATGAAAAGCTAATAAGCTACTATATGTTGCTTTTTTTGAGCCGCGGATAGTTCTATATTGTCGGGCATGGCTTCCAAAGAAGAGCCTAAAGTGAGTAAAATGACGTTTACTGTTCTATGTATCTCTAGCGATTTTATCATTCTACCCGGCTACATCGACTTTACAGCCGACGATGTAGACTTGTCGTCTCCTTTAACCAAGAAGATTATGTTGAAGGCTCCGCTGGTGTCTTCACCTATGGATACGGTCACCGAAGCGGATATGGCAATTTCGATGGCGGTAAGTAGTTTTTTAGTCAAACAATACCCATTTAACTACTTTTTGGTCAAGTTACGGTTATCTTTTGCTCGTTTGATTGGTTTTTAGTAGGGTGTTCGCTAATTGAGCGACGGTCTAACTAACAGATAGATTTGTCATGGGGAAAGAGAGCGAGGGGGATTCTGAATTCTCTAAAATTGAGCACGACTAAAAAAGTTAGAGGCAAATGAATGTATGAAATGAACGCAAATGATTTTCCATGCCCGGAGGGCATCGTAAAAATTAAATAGCAAGAGGGGCGCATAAAAGTGTCCGATCTGCCCATATGTAAATAGGATTTCCACAGGTCGTGCGACTGTCATACGAATGGATCTTAAGCTGGGTTTAGACTAGGCAAGTCAAATGATCAATTCAGTTGAATTCAACTGACTTGAACGCGAATTGAACGTGTAAACCATGTCATTCAACTGACTTGATCAACTCACTTGAATTGAAACAAGTTAAACCAGGCCCAACTTTTCAAGCCAACTGAATTCAACTGAGTTGATCATTTAACTTGCCTAATCTAAACCCAGCTTAAGATCCATTCGTATGACAGTCGCACGGCCTGTGGAATTCCTATTTACATATGGGCAGAGCGGACATTTTTATGCGCCCCTCTTGCTATTTAATTTTTACGATGCCCTCCAGGCATGGAAAATCATTTGCATTCATTTCATACATTCATTTACATTCATTTGCCTCTAACTTTTTTCAGTATTCCGCAAAATTATGTATAGAGCTTTTGTAGGTTTGTTATTAGCTACAACTTTTGCTCTCAACTCAAATCTGTATCTCTTATGCATCACGAACTAGAGCGGGCAGAACTTGTTACTGTTTTTCAGTGAATGTAAAACACATTCACTGGAAACAGTAGTGGCTTCTGTTCACTCTGGTTTGTCATGCATAAGAGATACGGATTTGACTTGTTAACAAAAGTTGTAGCTAATAACAAAACCTACAAAAGCTTCATACATCATTTTGTTTTGCGGAATGCTGTTGAAGAAAAAAGTTAGATGCAAATGAATGCACGAAATGAATGCAAATGATTTTCCATGCCTGATGCCCTCATCACATTCCATAAGGATAGTGTAACAGAGAAAGATAGCAACAAATTCTTACTATCATATATATATATTCTCTTACATGGAACGGGAGTTGTTCAGCCCCTAGGCTGCACACTAAGATTTTGTTTTCGTGTTCGGTAAATTTTACCGAAATCAAAACAGCTGAACGTTCGTTAAAACTTTAACCTTCATTTTCAAACAAATTTTTGTATAGAATATGGATCTATAAAATCCATAGAGTAATCCAATAAAAATATAGAATGAAATAATGCTAACAGCTTTATTGAATTAAAAATCGATTTTTATTGATTCAAAAAAAAATGTTTACTTGAATCAACCTGAAACATTTTTTAAAGCAAGGAATAATTTTAGTTGTAGCTAATCATATCTTTTTATTGTATCAAAATCATATATATTTAAACCAATAAATATCTTTTAACTTATTTATTTTATTGGAGGCGAACCAACCCCAGGCTGAAAGCCTCCCAAATAAAGATAAATCAATCAATCATTTTTTTTTATTGATCAGGTTTTTAGAAAATTGCCTACAATAAGCTGTCTCGCATAAAAAGCATTCGTTCGACTCGGAACCAAATTCATTTTTATCTTACGAATATGGAAACCTTAACGAACAAATGCAATCCATGAAATAACCTAAATCGTTGACTATATAATACAATGTTCCCTAACATTAAATCAGAGTATCAAACATTAATATTGAATAATAATACTCACGATGCTCAGTTTCTGATTGCTATGCCTGTCAATTTTAAATATTTTATTTACATTAGATTAAAACAATCTTTCAATCTGAATCTTCTACAATTAATCATCCATAACAAGTATACTTCTAGGTAATGGGTCGTACATATTTAAAAAAATGCAGTGTCTCCAATATACAGTTGTGTTCGATAAAATAGCAGCGCATGCCGATTTTCATACAAATTTTGATCATGACCAAATGTTTGACATGGTGTAACTTTGTTAACTTGTGATCAATTGAGCTGAAACGTTTGCCGAAGAACTACACTGCCGTTATACGCATAATTGTCCCATGTTCTATGCAATCCTTATGCGTATAACGACAGTACAAATATGTTCAATTTTACGATTACAAAATATTAAATTTTTGGAAGCACCTGCCGGAAAGTGAGACATCAGGTAAAATTGTTCAAATGTCAAATTGTTCAAGGTCTCACTTTCCGGCAGGTGCTTCCAAAAATTTAATATTTTGTAATCGTAAAATTGAACATAATATGTTACATATATTATTTGTAGTTCTTTGGCGAACGTTTCAGCTCAATTGATCATAAGTTAACAAAGTTACATCATGTCAAAGTTGATTATTTTGTATAAAAATCGGCATGCGCTGCTATTTTATCAAACACAGCTGTATGTGTGAATCTACAATATGTAGGTTAATTTTGTTTGAATTTAGAGATTCAAAATTTTGAAATGCAAATATCTTATCCGCTAATTTTAATTCAAAGGATTGGAGATGATCATCAAAAGCAATTATTTCAATTGTTTAGCAAAAATTACAATACTTCTGTCTTGCATTAGTATTCCATCTGAATGGTAAAAAACGTTGATTATTTCTTGCTTTTGAACATGAAAGTAGCATCCTCTTAGTAAATTTTGATACATATGACATGGTTTTCATGATTTCAACACTTTGATTAGAGATTGCTATGCATTTTAATAACAAGTTTTTATAAGTTGAAGAAATAAGGGTTTCAAAGATTTGATCGTCATTTATATTAAATCTATAAAATGATCTGTTAAAAATATTCAAGGCAAACTTAAAATTAGATTTAATTGCCAATGAGTAGCATATATTTCTGTTGTTGTTGTTAGTCCTACTATAAAGTAGCAGACACGAAAGTCCATCACCTTACCGTAACCCCCTTCGAGATTCAAAGGGACTCAACGCACATCACTCGATCCATCGTCGATTTGACCAATCGCGTCAGTTTATCCGGAAATCCGTACTCGTGCATAATTTGCCATAGCTGATCTCGATCGATTGTGTTGTATGCGGATTAGAAATTGATGAACAAATGATGTGTGGGCACGTTGTATTCGCGGCATTTCTTCAGAACCTACCGAATCGCGAAAATTTGGTCCGTGGTAGCGCGGGCACCCATGAATCCCGCCTGGTATTGCCCCACGAACACTCTTGCAAATGGTGACAGGTGGCCGATAGCCTGTCATCTTCTGCGCGTGCTCCAAGGTCTGTTGCCGTGCCACCTTCGTTTTATGCTGCTTCACCGTTGAGGTGCTCGTCATAGTACTGCTTTCACCTCTCAATCACCTCACACTCGTTCGTAAGAAGGTTACCGTCCAAGTCCTTGCACATATCGGCTTGCGGCACGTAGCCTTTGCGCTAACTATTTAGCTTCTCATAGAACTTTCGTGTGTCGTTTACGCGGTACAGATTTTCCATCGCCACGCGATCTCGGTCTTCCTGTTGACGCTTCTTCCTTCGGAAAACCGAGTTTTGTCTGTTCCGCGCTTGTCTGTATTGCTCCACATTCAATCTCGTGCGGTGTTGCAGTATTCTCGCCCGTGCTGCATTCTTCTCCTCTACTAACAGTTTGCATTCGCCGTCAAACCAGTCATTTCTTCGGTCCGGGATTGCAGTACCTATTGCCGCTGCAGCAGTACTACGTATGACGGAACGGATATCTCTCCAGCCATCTTCAAGAGAAGCTGCGCCAAGCTGCTCTTCCGTGGGTAGGGCAACTTCCAGCTGCTGCGCGTAGTTCTGGGCAACTGGGCTGCTTCACAGCGATATAAATGTGAAGCTTAGGCGTCCACCTCTTAGTTCGCATTTTTGTCCACCTAAAATATTCATAAGTATTACAAGCAATCAAGAGTCAATGAACAATCAACAAAGCATCCTATTACACTAGCAACCCCGCAATCTGATGCTATCATAATTTTCAGCAATGTCAGGAATGCTCACGAACCCCCGACATTTGTCAGAAAACTTACTACTGACTCAAGGTATCCTCCAAATAAGCTTCAAAATTGCATTTTTTTTTTATCAAATGATAAATTCAGTCCTCTATATCCGTAATACGCGCGCGAGACTCAAACCTTTGTAGACCGCCTAAAAAAATTTTTTTTTAACTACTACTATCAAATCAAATAACAAAAATCCATCATCACCATCGTGGCGAACAAAATAGTTTTTGCAGTGCTACAATAATTATTAAAAAGTTATAACAACTATCCATACAAAATAATCCTATAAAAATAACTTCGTCAAGATACAAAAATCACTAGATAACCGTTCAAAAGATAGTTTTAACGTGTGAAATGAAATGTCTCTTAAATTCAGCTAATGTTGTTGCACGTTTAATGTGTCTAGGCATCGAATTGAAAACATTTATTCCTTTGAAAAATAATGAATTCTGTGAAGCACAAGTCAAGAAATGTGGTGTTCTTATTTCATCCGCGTTTCTAGTATTATATCTTTGATAATCACTTCCTCTTTTAATTCGATCACACAAATATCGAGGCAGCAAACCGTTAATTTCTCTAAAAATGAACACCATCGTCAAATATACTATTCTTTGCTTCCCGCTTTGTAAAGCGTCCAGCATCAAAGTTGAGGAAGTGAATCTATTACATCTTAAAATCAAACGCATTACTTTATTCTGCAAACGCTGTAATCTCGATATTTGTGTTTCATTGGCCAAAAATAAAATGGAAGGGCAAAAGTCTAGATGAGGGGAGATGATTGATTTGTATAGCTGTATATTACTGGCAATAGTTAAATCGTTTTTTAATCGACATAGAATTTCATACTTCTTGGCAATTTTCTTGATGACATTGTCAATGTGAGAGTTGAACTTAAATTTGTCATCAATAATCACGTCATGATATTTAATCTCCCGAACGCGATCA